CCTTGTGTTGGTCAAACAGTCTCTTTTAATTTGTTATTTGAGATAAGAGTTGCATAGATACATGCTGCTCTGAATTCTCTGGTCACTTTGACAGTTTTATTGGGCCTGGTGAGGGGGTGTCTCTGTTTAGTGTTTGTGTGTGTGTTATTTGGTTCTTAGGGAGTGAGTGAGTGTGACATGTGTAAGCGTGTGTATTGCTGTGGGTGTGTGTTATCATTTGGCTCATTAGGGAGTGAGTGAGTATGATGTGTTTAAGTGTGTATATTCGTGTGGGTGTGTATATAAGTGTGAGGCCTCTACACCTCCGTAAGCATGTCTGTCTTGTGTGGGTGAGAAATGTGGGTAGGTTTTGATTTGTTGAGTTATATATTCGTACTATCTGTATTCTTAAATTTATGGTTTAGCCCGGCTGGATATTTGTTTTAGACGTTGTATCCACTTGTTTTAATATTATTTAATATATATATATATATATATATATATATATATATATATATATATATATATATATATATAAAAATACAAATACATTACTATAATTTAAATACAAATATAAACATCTAATATATTGTTTCAAATACAATACAAATGTGCATACAAACATCATAACATATCCATATATACAACAATATATTAAATACGTCCAAATTTACATAGATATACAAAGGTGTAGATACAAATCTTTATTTATCGATATGTTGGCTATTGTATTCATAAAAAATGTAAATACATAATCTATTAATACATACATTTTAAGTTATCTTCTGTTTATACGTTTCTTTATAGATACAAATATTTAAGTAAATATTGTGTTTATAATAAACAGGATTAACAACATTTACCAGCCTGACTGTCCGAGAAATTTTCAAAGTATGCGTTCTCCGACAGGAATCGAACCTGTAAACTACACGGAACTGTCATATAGCCTGACGTGCTATACCAATTTAGCTACAAAGGAACGTCTTGGTTAGCAAGCTCGATTTTATTGTCTTTAAACTACAATCTTCCATTAGCTCCTTCGAACATTCACGTCCGCTCGATGCGTATCCAAACGTAAACAAATGACGTCACACACTACGAAATGGTCAAAGTCCGACAATTATTTTAATTTATTTTCTGTTTATACCTTATTTTTATAGATATAAATATTTAAGTTAATGCTCTATCTATAATAAACAGCATTAACAACATTTACCGGCCTGAATGTCCGAGAAAATTTCATAGAAAAAAAATATATATATACGTTTATGTACACGTATATAAAAACATATATATTGACTACGCCTGTAGTCTTCGCCTATTGCCTACGCCTATTGCCTACCACTACGACGAGGACCAGTCCATTACGGTTACCTGCTAGATTGTCCTACCCGGTTGCAGTAGTCCAAAACTACTCGGCTACTTCGAACAAATATATCCCTTTTCGGGACATAGCAATATATATATATATATATATATATATATATATACACACAATCACAAACGCACGTGCGCGCGCACACACACACACATATACACATGTGTATACCTGTGTATATACGATTTCCAGTAGATCAAATGTACATATCTTAACTGTAATTTCAAAATCAATTTGTCCTAAAACCTCAATCGCTGATGGAAAAGTTGATGCCATTCACTTTATGGTTTTGGATGACAAACGTCTTACTGTCCAGAAGATAGCAAAGTCCATAGTTAATAGTTCTGATTCGCTTCCTACTGTTTTAACTGAGATTTTGGGGATGAGCAAGCAGTCTGCAAGATGGGTCCCAAGAATGCTGACACCAGAGCAAAAGCAGAAAAGGGTTGACATTTTCAGAACACTTAGGATTCGCTTTCAGGCTGACCCTGAGAATTCCCACCTCAGAGTAATAACTCATGATGAAACCTGAATCAAAGATTCAAAGAAAACAGTGGAAACACTCTGGTTGTCCACCCCCGAAGAAGTTCAAGGAGGCGTCCACCCCCGAAGAAGTTCAAGGAGGCGTCCACCCCCGAAGAAGTTCAAGGAGGCATCCACCCCGAAGAAGTTCAAGAAGGCGTCCACCCTCGAAGCAGTTCAAGGAGGCATCCACCCCGAAGAAGTTCAAGGAGGCGTCCACCCTCGAAGCAGTTCAAGGAGGCGTCCACCCTCGATGAAGTTCAAGAAGGCGTCCACCCTCGAAGAAGTTCAAGGAGGCGTCCACCCTCGAAGAAGTTCAAGGAGGCGTCCACCCTCGAAGCAGTTCAAGGAGGCGTCCACCCTCGATGAAGTTCAAGAAGGCGTCCACCCTCGAAGAAGTTCAAGGAGGCGTCCACCCTCGAAGAAGTTCAAGAAGGCGTCCACCCTCGAAGCATTTCAAGGAGGCGTCCACCCTCGAAGAAGTTCAAGGAGGCGTCCACCCTCGAAGCAGTTCAAGGAGGCATCCACCTCGAAGAAGTTCAAGAAGGCGTCCACCCTCGAAGCATTTCAAGGAGGCGTCCACCCTCGAAGAAGTTCAAGGAGGCGTCCACCCTCGAAGCAGTTCAAGCGTCTGTTGACAAGTTGATGGTTTCTGTCTGAAGCCGTAATCATGGTTTCTGGAAAAGTGAAAAGCTATTAATAGATAGTACTATGCATCAGAATCTAAGACAACTGAAAGAAACAGTAAAGTCGAAACGCAAAAGAAATCTGACGGCAGATGTGCTTTTTCTCCGGGATAACGCGGCCGTTCATGCTGCTCAGTAGCTGAACCAGCCAACGGTGGCTTTAAATTGCTACCCCATCTCCCTTACTCACCAGACTTAGCTCTATCTGACTTCTTCCTGTTTCCTAAACTCAAACTCCACCTGCATGATTGCCATTTTGGAAACAATGACGATATATGCATTGTAGAGAAATTTTCTTTCGTGAAGAGATTGCAATGCTTAATGCATCGATGTCAAGGGGCACTATATTGAAAAATAGTGAAAAAATGTTTTTTGTTTCTCCAACACCTTCAGGGTGAGGCTTAGAACTTTTTGAACGACCCTCGTATATATTTAATAAATAGGAATATTTGGCTTGAATTGAAATCAATTTTGTTCAAATTCTTTCAAGAGGTATTTGCCTATAAGTCTACGTATGACATTAATTAATTTCTTTTGTTTAGTAAATTAGGGTTATTTATATTTTTCTAGAAGGCAAAGATTACATCTTTCGCCTTTGTCATTTTAAGATTAGTTCTAGCCATTATTTCCCACGCAATTTTTTCCACCATCTTTTATTTTCATATATATATATATATATATATATATATATATATGATGACTCAGATAGTCGGAGCACCTGATCCGCTTCGAAAATAACAAACTACTCAAGCAAGCCATTGTGAAATTTTGTGAGGCAAGCGGTTGAAATGCCAACCACCAGACACATACATCTACACACACACACACATATATATATATATATATATTATGTGTATTGTATCCGTGTATTGCTTAATATATTGTAATATAATTGTCATCTTTGTTAATGACTTATATAAGCCGAAAGCTTAGATAGGATTAAAAAATATGTATCAATATTGTGATTTCCATTATTCTTTTGATGATAATGCTATTAAGCTTATCAGACGATATGAAAATAATTTACATAAAATAAATAGACAAAACTTGTCTATATTATTTAATGAAACATGCATCAATATATATATATATATATATATATATATATAAAGAAAAAAGAAACAAAGATATATAAAATAGTGCACAGTGTGTGCTGGTGATAATAAAACATTGCTCAGTGTATTTTTTAACAAAGCGTAAAGAAGGCATTAAAGCCACTAAGACGCAATGTGTGTAAGAGAATATGAGAAAAAAATTATTATCGAGAATGAATAAAGAAAAAGAACAGGAATTACAAAGACAACAATTGATGTTACATTAAAGTTTTTGAATATCAAGGTTGAAAGGAAAGCAAGAGGACGGAAGAGAACTGCACACAAAGCTAAAATTTCTGCTAATAAATATATACACATTCCTGGAACTAAAACAAAACATCTGTAGAGCGATCACAGTCATTCTTGTTGATATACTAAGCTGCACTGTGTTTGAAATGAGAGAACGAACTCATGCGTGTTCTCTTCGTGGTGGTAACCATCTCAGGGATGTAATATCCAAATCTTAGATAATATGTTGAACTCTTGTAAAGGGTGTTCCAATAATTTGGACCAATTTTAAATGGGAATTAAGTTTAAGCGTCTAATGATTTTTTTCTTTTTCTTTCAGATTTAACAACTTTAGTTTTTGGCAATTTCAACCATGGAAAGATTAACAATCAAACAATGTGTTAAAATTATCGAAGCCTATTACGAAAATGGACGTTCAAACAGAAATGCATTTTTCGACATATTATCTAAGATTTTGCTATTTCCTACAAGTATCTGATATCTCTTTTGGTGAATGTTGACCCCCATAATATCGGTGTTTGAAATGAGAGAGCGAACTCGTGCTCTGTACTATTCAAACCTTAGATAATATGTTGAACTCTTGTAAAGCGTGTTCCAATAATTTGGACCAATTTTAAATGGGAATTAAGTTTAAGCGTCTAATGATTTTTTCTTTTTCTTTCAAATTTAACTTTGGCAATTTCAACCATGAAAAGATTAACAATCAAACAATGTGTTAAAGTTATCGAAGCCTATCACGAAAATGGACGTTCAAACAGAAATGCATTTTTCGACATATTATCTAAGATTTTGCTATTTCCTACAAGTATCTGATATCTGTTTTGGTGAAGGTTGACCCTCATAATGTCCGTGTTTGAAATGAGAGAGCGAGCTCGTGCGTGTTCTCTTCGTGGTTGTGACTATCTCAGGGATGTAACATCCAAATCTTAGATATGTTGGAGTTTTTTAAATCACTTATTGTTGTGGTAGGATCCACCTAATTTGCATAGTGGAGTACCGACCATATAAATATGGGTGGTATCGGGAAGACGAGGGGAGGAATCAAGAGATTAAATCCAGAGACTCTGTCCGACTGCGACTAAGTCAACACATTCTCCGGGAACGGTCTTCCCAAGAATATACAAAAGACTATATGTAAATATTGTGTACACTTTCTTGTTTCAATACATTTTGTTCTAAGTACATTTTGTGTTGTATTATTATTCCATGCATTAGTCAAGTTTCAACACTTATGTAATAAATATGTTTGGTAATCTATGCCATTTTTATAATCCAAGATACTTGCATTTAAAATGTCTCCCCTCATTATACCCCACCACAAACTGCATTTGTTCCTCACCGTTTATATATATAAACAACCAGTTTGATGGAATTTTTAATATGTCAAGTTTTAACTGTTCCAAGAACTTATGTTAGAATTTTCTCTATGGCTTTCGTTATTCTCTGCAGAGAACAACGAGTTCCAGATCTGATGGGTCATATTGAAATGTCTACTTTATTTGTTTTGGCTGGAAAATAAGATCTGGATATTTTGAGAACGTTATTCTGTTAATTTCGACTATGCTCATTATTAACTAACTTCCTAATCACTTTATTAATTTTTTTTTCTGCAAATCGGTTTTCTCTTAAATGTTCCTATCATAGAGAAATCTAATTTTCTTGTATTCGTATTCATGACATCTATCTCACCTCTTTTTTTCTGAAAATTTACTTATTTTAAGCTGGATTTCCTAAAACTAAATTTAATCTTTTAATCTAAATTAATAAGATATCACCCAGTTCTAAGGGCTCTTCGAGAAAAAAAAATATAATTCTTCCAAATTTAATCGTATTTTGTGAAGTGAGTGAAAACTTTTGAGGTCTTTTTAGTTCCTTGTATTATGGTAGACGTTTAAACTTGACTTACCATCAGGAAGAGACAGTTTAAATTTCTAAGGTACATGGGGGCTCGGAAAATCTGATCCTCACAGGACAGATTGAGGGAAAGAGGAAAACAAAGCATAAACCTACTTAGTGAGCTTGATTAAATGGATTGCAGGACAAGTTTTGGGAGAGACAACAAAAGGACAAAATTTATTAAGAACTACAAAGAGAAGGAAATTGTGGAGAGCCATGATCACCTACTTCCTGAATGGACACAGCATATAAAAGAAGATTAATGTTATTTTTAGACTAAACACAGAGGCCTACATCAAGTTCCTGAGTGCAGCCCTTGGTCAAGAGGGTGGCTGCTTAGTTTAGGAAGGATAAGAAAAAGACAAAATTTATTAACTACAAAGAAAAATTAAATGACTAAACTCTTATGTAATATCAATCGTCCTGTATGGCAGTGAATATTGGACAATCTGCACACAAATAAAGAAGGGAATTGAAGCCGCAAAAGTGTGTTTTTACAAAAGGATGCTGGAAAGTTTTTTTGTAGAGAAAATGAAAACAAAACGGACATTTTTACTTAGCATCAGGACGAGACCGTTGACATTTCTAGGGCATATAATGAGAAAAGAGGGCTTGGAAAATCTGATACCCACAGGAAATACTGAAATCAAGAGGGAAAGAAGGAAACAACGCATAACATACTTAGTGAGCTTGAGTAAATAGATGACGGAACAAGGTTTAGACAAAGAAGAAAACTTATTAAGAGCTACAAAGGACAAGAAATTGTGGAGAGCCATGATCGCCTACATTTTGAGGGGCCACAGTACATAGAAGAAGATCAGTTCGTTAAGGTATACTTTGTTTTTTTTTTTTCCATTTGTTAATTCAGTTGTATGTTTGCTTTGGTTTAGGTTATTTATGAGTTCTCTGTAGTTTTGTGCAGGTATATTTAATAAAGTGACATGTATATAGCGAAAGATTTCAGAATTTCCCATCGACTAAAGTATTTTAAAATGACCCAGATTCTAAAAAAAATGTCATAGTAATTCATTGCTGAAGAGAGAATCCATTGCTAGGAGTTTTTTGTTTTTTTAATTCTTGTTCTTGTCTTTTGCATTCATTTTTTTTTTTTTACTTCATTTTTGGCATCGACTGCGTTCGTTTCTTTCTTTTCTTCTTTCTTTTTTTTCTTTTTTTTTTTTGATACAATCTTTCTATTTTTTTCTTTTTTTTTTTTTTTGGCATGCTTTTTTTTATTCTTAATGGCTTTGGATACTTTTATACTTATTTAATTTCAGTGCTTTTATATATTTTCTTTTCTTTTTTTTTTTTTAGCTTTCTTTCTTAAATTAATTCTTTCTTCTTTTGTATCTTAATTTCTATTTCCTTCTTTTTTCTTTTTTTCTTTCTGTCTTCCTTCCCTTCATAATTTCTATTTCTTCTTTCTTCCTTTTCTCTTGCTTTCTTTCTTTCTATTTCTTTCTTCCTTTCTTTTTTTTTACTTTCTTTCTTTATTAATTTTTATTTCTTTCTTTACTTCTTTCTTTCTTTCATTCTTTCTTTGTTTGTTTGTTTCTTTCTTTCTTTCCTAATCTCTGTTTCTTTCTTTCTTTGTTCCTTTCTTTCTTAATTTCTTTCTTTCTTTCTTCTTTCTGTCTTAATTTCATTTTTGCGTTCTTCCTTTCTTTCTTAATTTCTTTTTTCGTTCCTTTCTTTA